AGCAGGTAGGGAAGGAGGGAAGAAGGAAGGAAGGAAGGAAGGAAGGAAGGAAGGAAGGAAGGAAGGAAGGAAGGAAGGAAGGAAGGAAGAAAAAAAGAAGGAAACGTGTGATATTGAAGATCACAGAAAATGATATATGGGACTTTTTGATTGGTAATGTATCTAGAAGGGCTGGAAATTCTCTTTACAAAGCCTAAGAAGTAAAGATGATTTTTTTGACTTTTGGGGAGAGACAAAAGAAAATCATTGTTCTCCGTGTCTCTGATCTTTTTGCTTTCTTTTCCGACTTGATCTCAGTCTCCTGGGTGCAAGCGATCCTTCCGCCCGAGCTTCCTCAGCACTGGGGCGACAAGCCTGAGAGAGGCACCCAGCAGCTCTGATCTTCAGTTTCTTACTAACACAAGATGCAGAATTCAATTACTTCATATTTTTCTCTACATATTTTCCACTCTACTAACCTATCCCTTCTCATTTCCTTTTGATTTACTCCTTTCTAACAAGTAGCTAGATATGTTTACATGTGTAAAAAGACTGCTTGCAAATTATAAAGAATCTTAACAATGTAAGAATGTTAAAAAGCCTGTTAAATCCTTTAGCTAAAAAAAATAATAAGTGAGCACTTACCTGAACATGTTTTGTGACAAATAAAATCTAATCATTTCCCCATTAATATTCTAAGACCTTCAACTTAACATTCTACTCTGGCCTCAGACGCCATACCCCCAGATGTCAAAGGAAAGTATATATACAAAGAACAATCGCAAAGGAACTTCAAATGAAGCCATGTTCAAAGGAATTCTTGTTAGGCTCTTTCTCCTGACAGCTAACAAAGAAAAACAAAAACAAACTGAAAAATGTAGCTAAAAAGTGTGTGTGTATGTACAGTAGTCCTCCTTTTGGCTTTCTGCAATTTCAGCCTTCTGCGTTCAACAGTTTTCTAAAAAATATTACACAGAAATTTCCAGAAATAAATAATTCATAGGTTTTGTGTGGTTCTGACTAATGTTATAAAATCTCATGTTGTCACTCTCTGTCCCACTTGAGATGTGAATGTCCCTTTGTCCAGCATTATCTATACTATAGATGCTATGGGTCTATTCGTCGCTTAGTAACAATCTTGGTTATCAGATTGACTGTCATGGTATTGCAGTGATTATTAAGAAACACTTATAGAGTAGCCTAAAGATGTGTCATGATGCCTGTGCAACTTATCATACTTTACATCATCACATAGATATTATATAATCTTATATCATCATGAGAAGAATGAGAAGAGAACGTTTTAAGAAAGGGATAATTTTCTCATATTTTATTAGAGTACATTATAATTATCCTGTTATGTTATTGGTACTGTTGATCTCTTACTGTACTTATTTTTATATCAAATTTTATCATGCGTTGTCACCATAAAAAGAGTAATGTAGGTTTTGGTAGTGTACGCTGCTTGAGGCATCACTGGAGAGGTCTTAGAACAGATCCATTGTAGATGAATGCAAATAACTGCATTAGGAAATTAATGCTGTCTATTCTGTGGAAAAATAAAAATCTTTTCTACTTAACTAAAACTCCAAAAGAACATTCCAACAAAATTTCAGAAACACTATATGGAGTACAAATTTGGATTAGATTGCTGTTATTTTTTTTTTTTCTTAATACTTAGAATTCATTAGTGAATAAATATCTTTTCTGAAATAAAGTTAATTTTATATTTTTTCCTTTGAAAATAATAGGTAAATTGAGATTTTGAGTGTCTTATATTTGGGGTGGATAATTTATTAATAGTTTTTTATTTGAATTTTAACTGCCTTTTTCTTTTTTTGGTTTTTTTTCTGGTACTGGGAATTGAACTCACGACCTCACACTTGCCAGGCAGGCACTGTGCCACTGAGCTAAATCCCCAGTCCCTGACTGCCATAGGTTATAGCTTGAATTTTTCATAGTATCTTATTAAAATTATTTAAGCTTTAATTTTAAAAATTTGATAAGGATATATCAAAGAAAATACATTATGGATCTCAATCCCCAATAAAAATAGATGCATCAGTAAAATAAATTAGCAGGTTAAATCTAGTGATACTTATAATTAATAATACATCATTATCTAGTACTAGTATAATTTTATGTCATAATCTGGATGTTAGTTTCTTAAATGTCAACATGTAAAAATTCTTTGATTTGAATAAAATAGTTGCACATTCCTCTAGACATACTTTTACTTATACCTTGAATAGTATGACAGAGAAAATTAATACTTTTGATATGCTTTATAATTGACAGAAAAGTAGATATTACTTTGAAAACAGTTAATATATTTTGATATCAAAATTGGAATAATATATGGATGCCACACAATGTATAATCATCCTTTTCTTCATAATCTTGGGTTTTTATGAATATTTACAGAAAATACTTCAACTTTGTGTTACAGGATGTATTTTCTAGTAAATTCCATTAAGAAAAAAATACCACTATTTCTTTCACAGAATTTCCTCTTGCTACAATCAGGTATAAAATATCTGTTTCTTTCAAAATAGTAAAAGTTCAACATTCATTTAGCATTGAGAGATGGAAGTTTGGGTTTATACAAGTTGGAAATTTAGAATTGAGATAATCACATCTTACCCCTATATCTTTAAGGTTTTTACCTACTTTCTCTT